GTTAAACTCGTGTACTTTTTCAGAGTTCCTAACTGTCTTTGTCTTAGATAGTCACGATAAAAGTGGTAATACATTTGAACTTGGTTGGAGCATAAAAACACCAATCTCTGTTATTTTGGAGGAATTATCAAATCCTGCTGAAACCAGAAGCTCCTTGCCGTCAGTAACTTTTCCTTCTCTTCTCTTATGGAAAAGAAAATTGCAAGAAAATTGACTGCAGTGAGTTGATTCATGCATTTGACAGGAAAAAAGCCCAAAATGTAAAAATGTAAGGCAAAAAAAGCTGTGCAATTTCAGAAATAACACAATGCTTTTCTTACTTTTTCTTTACTCTGATACTCATCCTGATTGTGAACTAAGTCTCTTTCACTTTACTAGAGCTTTCTCTTAAGTAAATGAACTTAAGAAGCTGCCTCATATTGAGAAAGGGAACTAGCTTATCAAACCTGCTACTGTAACTAGCAATAGCTCTTCAAAATACAGATAGCAAGGAGACCTTAATCAGGCACAAGTTATGCTCTGTGCCTGAACTATTTGACTCTCGTGCAACGCATGTGCAAAGGACATCAGCTTCATTGATGAACAAGTGAAATTAAATGGCATTTATTAGATTCTGGATACACAAAATGCACAAGAAATATAAATACTAACTCAGGATTCCTAAGAATCCTGTTGAACATGTAGTTCAACAGGACAGAGTAGCCCTAGATCTGGAAACATCAGGGTTCCCCTCCCTCAGTAAATTTGCACATATTCTTCTCTCACACAAATTACATAATAATTTGTATATACATCTGGTTACATATTTATCCATTTACTGGTGTTTATACTTCATTACTTCCTTCCCCCACTCTCTTTGGCCCCACCCAATTCAAATTTATTACTGAAACCATAATAACTATAGCTTCTAAGGGGTGAAAATCTTTTTAGGCATGTATAGTATTACATGGACCAATCATATCTATGGGCTTCAGGAAGCCCTTTGTTGTCTGTCCTATTCATATAGTTTATAAGTGGGCACCAATCCTTGATAAATGAATCAGCACACACATTTTGCCACCTGCTACATGTAACTTATTGTTAATTTTTCTTGTAATGCTGCCTATCATAATTTTAAATGCCATACTGTAATTATGACTCCTTGCAAATCTTTCCAAACTTTAACTATGGTTTGCTTTGCTGCTGCCAAGATCTGGCTTATTAGAGGTTTAAATAAGACTGCCTCATGTATATCAACAAAAACTGTACACAATGTAAGTTCTGGAGTTTTGGTAATAGACTGACCTGTGATTATTCTCATTTCATTAAAAAAAACTTATCCCCAAACCTCTCTGCCTTGCTACATGTCCACCAAAGGTACTGACTGAGAACCAGCAGGTATTGCCAAGAGTATCGGTACTCCTCCTTACACTTTCCATCCAACTTTAAATATTATTTCTATTAACTCCCTGCCCACATGTATGTAATGTGGGATTTCTGCCTTGGCAAAAGACTCCCAAGAGCAAGGTCTTCCAGGTGTTAACCAACTGCCAAACACCTTTGTGAAACATTCAATAATTTTGATTGCCCCCAAATGTAACTCACTCCTTAAGGCAATTGAAGTTTGTAGGTACAAAAACCTGCACTGTTATGTTCCTCTCTTGCTGCCCCACTCCCTGTAGATTGCTTAGATATTACCCAGAGTACAACTAGAGGTTAAAATAATCTGAAAGTGTTATAATAAGTATGTTCAGTGTTGCGGGCACTAACAGATGTTTATAGCTCAAACTGGCTAATGTCTGTCATATTCACCCCCAATTCCTATGTCACCAGACAGCTAATTCTAATTGGCTACATAGTGATTTCAGAATTATCAGGAGGAGAGGACTGATCTGATCAAAGCAGTGGCAACAAGCCAGCAGTTCAAAGATATTATTTTATTTTATTTTTTGGTGGGGGAGCACCACCATGAGAGGTTGACATTGCCTCTACTGTTATCTCAAGACATCTTGAGAGTGCAAACACTTAATAAAGCTTCTACTCCCAAACAACTGTCAGATGGGACCAAATTTCATAAGGTGAAAGGACATGTCAAACATGTCCATTTGGATCAGTTTTCAGGGATATATTAGACGGGACTGGTATGATATCCTTATACCTACCGATCCATGTACATAACACATGAATGTGTGAGCCATTTTGCCTTGGTGCTGTCTGTCCATTCTGCTGGTGGTTATTAACCACATGGGGAGTATTTGACCAAGTATGTAGCTCTTTCCCATCCAATCAACACCCAAGTTTCATGCCTGTGACCTTCTTTCACTGTGTTGTTGTTTAGTCGTTTAGTCGTGTCCGACTCTTCGTGACCCCATGGACCAGAGCACGCCAGGCCCTCCTGTCTTCTACTGCCTCCCGGAGTTGTGTCAGGTTCATGTTGGTTGCTTCGCAGACACTGTCCAGCCATCTCATCCTCGGTCGTCCCCTTCTCCTCTTGCCATCACACCTTCCTAACATCAAGGTTTTTTCCAAGGACTCTTTTCTTCTCACTGTATGCATCATCAAGTTAAATTATATGATAGTCTGTGTTTTATTTTAAATGGTTAACAATAAGAATCTGTATATCTGTCAGTCTCTCTCACTCTCTTTCTCAGTCTCTCTTTGTTTGTATTTCTCAGAACTCCACCAAGATTTTTATCCTATTCCAATTCAATACTAGGTTTTGGATTTTTCCCTATTTCAGCATAGACATATGTGCACATATGTGTTTTTATGTGGACTTTTACTAATGTTCTTATATTTATGTATTTTCTCCATCCACTAATACATCTGCATGCATTTTAAAATACACACATTTTAGTAATATACTTTTAAATATGTGCATGAATTTCTCTGCCAAAATGCATTGCAAATCTGAGACAAGATGTCTCATGTTTGAGGCAAGATGTGTTTCATCCTATTGATGCTTGTGGTTTATATGAAATGGATATCTGCTTAGGGAAATACCAACCCAAGTAAATTCTTTTCAGTACCATTGACCAAGCATTATCATTGTTAATTGCTTCTGGACACCTGAATGTGCTTTTTGAGTGTTCTTAATTAATAATCTGTGTTTCGAAGCAGTTCTGAACTTCTCCTGGGTTGATATAAATTCAGTTTTAATATTCTTATGGGAGGAATGAACTCTTTGTAGTACCTAATGTGCAAATCAAACAGCAAAGATCTCACTTGATATGTGATGTTTTTAAAACAATATAGCAGCACTGCAATAAAAAAGACATAGAACTGCTACTGTATTTAGAAACTAAGCTTCATTTTACCTCTGCTTTATCTTAGCTCCTAATACCCAAATGGCAGAAATTATAGTTAACACCTTATTAGAAGCACTGCACCCTTGAGGTAAAGTAAATTTTGTTTATCCAGATACGAGTTTGCCACAATCTCCTTTCTGGAAATTAGTTTGCTTTTGATTTATAATAAGTCATCAGGAAAGAAACATGGGCTTTATTTGCATGTCTGATTTCTCCAGCACATATGTTTGAAGGATCAGTATGTTTGGTGGGGAAACATTGTAAGAACAGGAAATAAGCATTTTTCTTGTGGATAACAACAGAAACATTGTTATACATCATGTCTATGTTTGTCCAATTGTTGGATCAAGAGTAGACACACTGAATGAATGGGAGCTTGGTAAGTCAATACTTGATGTACTTTATCTTGAGTTAATGGATCTTCTTTAGCTAGGACTAAGAATTGAGTTTAAGACCATGTCTGTTCCTGAGAAGTAATTTCAAGGGCTCAATCCAATTTTACTTCGAACTAGAGCAGAACCACTTAAATCAATTTGTCGTACACTATCCTTGATTAGCAAGTCCCATTCACTTCAGTACATTCATTGCAGCTGGAAATAAAACTGGATTTAGTCTGTTGCTGTTTTAAATGGTGCTTACATATTTGCCATTGTGAACAGATTGCCAACCCTAGAGCCTGATCCTAAGCTTAGGATGTATGCTTAGGATTGAAGCCCTAGAATTAGGACAGCGTCCATTCCGCAGCTCTGGAGGATTCTGTTAGCTATAAATAGAGAGCACATCACTTTGCTATTTTATGCTGGCACAAGTAGAAATAGACATTGCTGTCCTGTACATGCCAAGACATAAGTCTCACTGAATGCAATAGGACTTACTCTAAGATTTGTGTGGACAGGATTACAGACACAGTCATTACCTGTTGAGCTACCTAGGTACAGAGTCCACCTTGTTGTGAAGAATTGTTGGCTCACAGCTTTCTTCCTTTTAAAAATTTATATCCAAACTTTAGAGTTGAGCAAAACATTCTGCTTAATCCCTACAATTTTGTCATGAACCCAAAAAAGAAGAAACCTTTGCCATTTCCTTTCTTTATACTTTCTTACATATGTGGAAGTTGTGCTACAAGTCAGAATAATGGTATAACAGCAGCAACAACAACATGGCTTGAAGGAAGAGGAGGACAGAAGCTTCCTGAAGTGAAATACTATGAAAATGGATCTGAAATGCCACAGAAATAGTGGATTGGAAGCAGAGAGATTGACAAACTTTCAGAATGTGGATTGAAAGTTTTGGCTTTTGGTGTTTGGAATTTGAAGGAAGAGGAGGACAAAAGCTTCCTGAACTGAAACACTATGAAAATGGATCTGAAATAGTGGATTGGAAGCAGGCGGATTGACAGACTTTCAGAACGTGGATTGAAAGTTTTGGCTTTTGGTGTTTGGAAAGTTATTTTTGATACTTAATGGTCAGGAACATGACTTCAACATGAATGGTTCAGAATATGCAGTACACAGTGCTAAATTTCAACTACAGAGATTCTGCACATCGTATCATAGGGTAGAACAGCATCAGTGTTCATTTAAGTTCAGCTAATTATTGCTGACGGACAAGCTGCCAGGGTTGCACGACTGGAGGTGTGACCATGCATGTGGCCGAGATACACCCTGGCACCTCATCAGTCTACTTCAATTAACTGCAACAAGTTCCACATACCTTGCAGGAAGACCACTAGGAGCCTGGCGATGGTGCCCGAAAGCTGTGCATGTTAGAGCAAATGCATTTCAAAGGGTCAAGAGTCAAAGATCGACCTGGGCCAGGAGCAGAGGTTTTTTTGTTAGTTAGTTCATTTGTTTGTTTAATGTAAGACAAACTTCAGTGCAAAAGATTTGCATATGAAATTTACCCCTCCAAATTAATCTCCACTTCATAGCGCATGCAGCCCTTTTTATTTTCCTTTCCTCTCTGCTTAGCCATTGCCCGCTCGTTACCCTCCCCAGAAGTCTTACGTCCTTGCCAATGAATCTGCTTTGGCTCTCCTCCTCCTGGCTTTCAGAGGCAGCTTTGTAGGCACTGTAGGGAAAAGGGAGGGGGGGAAGAGAAGCCCTTGCCCAAATAGGATAAGAGAAGAAATTGGCATATCATTTACAGTGCCCTCCTTATCATTATCATTAGTGTTAATGCCTTCATCAGTTCCCCAGTGAAAGAAGGGCCTCTGGGGCCTTTCTGCCTCCTGACAGTGGAGACACCCGTGCGCAGATTAATATGCAGTTCTTCTTATGCTAATAGCAGCTATTTGTAACATTAATATTTTCTTTCGCAGTCAGGCAACAATACCAATAATAATAATAGTGGTTTGTGGAGAGGATTTGAGCTCTAATGTGCTTCGCGGGAATTGAAAGGGAGAAAACAAAAGCCCGTGACCTAATTTTTGTCACACAGAGCGGAGAGGCTGAAGGTGCTCGTTTTCTTGATGGTGCGTTTGTTGCTTTTGGAACCGGCTGTCTCTTATGAAAATAGGAAGGGCCTGCATAGCAAACAGGGTTGCCAGGTTGCAGTGTGCCAAGCTGAAATCTGAAGGAATTGCTACGACTCCCTGGGTCTCCACATAGGGTGACAAATCTCAAGGCAATCTGTGTCAGAGGAGGGAAACCTTTCATGTTTGTCTGTAAAGTGTCTTTAAAGCCTGGGCACTCATCTCTGTTTCTTCCAGAGATTGTAATCAAAGATTATAATATGGATGTTGTACTTGCTGCTTTCTCCATGCTTTTCTCAACAACGACAACAACAATATGATCCTGGAAGTGCAGAGATGAAAGGGCCCCTTATGGATTCTCAAGTCCAGCCCCTGTCAGGAAGGCAGAGTGGGGAATTGAACTCCCATAGCCAGATTCCAAAACCACTAAGCTATCCAGCATCTGGTGCTGCTAATGTGACAACCCTCGTACAAAGTTAAATTTCCATCACTTTTTACTGCCTGTACTCCTCTGCCTTTAACCAAAGAATCCAAAGTGCAGCAGGTTGAACTTTTCAAACAATTATAATAAATTCCTCATTGCAAAGTTTTAGAAGGAAGAGTATTAGGGCCAATAAAAAAAAAAGAAACTAGCTGTCAGCTATCTCTAGATGGCATCCAAAATATTTTAATATACAGATTTTTGACTAACCAGAAACATTACTCTTTATGATCAAAACACATTATAGGCCTCAAAGTTCATTGTTGCTTTTGCTGGGAATATGATCTTAGCCTTTCAGTACAATTTCCTCCTAACATTGGTGGAAAAACAAAAAACCTAAACCCCTCATTTATGAATGTGGGATATATTGCTTCTGTATCAATTATTCAAAACACCAGGAAATGGTCTCACATTGCTAAACAATACTGTATAGTGACCATGTTGCCAGTCAAAAAAAGGGCATCAAGTTTTATATAGCAAAGGGTAGCCTGAATGCTGACTACACCAGTGTTAGCCGTCAAGATGATTTATAGGATCCTTTCCTGTGCTTACTACCATTCACAAAGAAGCACCCAGCAAGGGAAAATTACAGAACGTGACTCTTTTCTACATCAGTTAACTACTCGCTCAAACATAAAGCAATTTTCATGGCTGATTTTTGACAAGTTTTCTAGATTAGGATCTAATGCTCAGACTTGGGCATTGCATAGAATTGGACTGGAGAATATATGTTCCTGCAGATGTTGTTGAACTGCAATGCTCATTTGTCCCAGTGAGAACTGACATCCAACACTATACTGTATTCCCATTCCTGGTATAAAATCTCCAAACATTCTTCAATGCGTGACCAAATCCTGAAGTGTGACAAGCACAGTCAAAACATCACAGTGCCTTTTGTCCCACAGGCACAGGTTTTTCTCTGCCAGGTTGTTAACATTTGCTTATTTTATGTAAGTAAATAAAAAGAAATATTTTTGCAAGATGGTAGATTGAGAACCTTTAAAAATGGTTGTAATTAGCTTCTCTGGGAGAGCATTATGATATTTAATAGGCCCCTTAGTGACAATTTTAGTAGCCTAGCCTGGTGCCTGATAAAGTATACACAGCAAATTTAATGCTGTTTTAATTAACAACTCTTAAAAGAAAATGTCAATTATGTTTCAGTAGCTTCATTTTTTTACACTGATGGTAAAAAGAATGGCCCTTTTTTCCAAGAGAAGAAAGAATTGAATTACTAAAAAATACAGGTGACAATTTCCCTTCTTTATTCTCCAGAGACTGGGCAAAATCCTGCTGTGTAAAGTTACACTGGTGCAAACTGGATCTGGTGTCAGAAACATTTAAATGAATTGAAAGCTTCCTTCTTTCCCCACTTTTCAGATCCAAAAGCTTCCTAGGGCTCTTTTTTGTCCTAGGGGAGCCCTTGGGAGCATCAGAACCATGAGGGTGGGGTAGGGGAAAGTCATACAAGCCATAAATAGACATGGGAAGAATTTTAAAAATGAATTGTGATATTTGTAGGAAATTGCTGATTCGTTGAATATTCATTGCTTCGTATTCATCAATCCCAGAGACCCTGACAAATATGAAACAATGAATATTTACCTTTTTAAAATTTCTCCATTCATTGCTCCAGAACAGCAGCTTCTCTCTCTGCCTATGTTCTTGTGGAATTGGGGGTATAGGCAGAAGGGAGAGCCTAGGGCATTGGTATGGTGGCTGCCCTCTCTGCTTATGTCCCCACAGATCAGCTGTTCCTTTGAAGCACCGGCAGAGAGAGAAGGCTAGGCTGCCAGAATGACAGTTTCCATTCCAGCAACTTAGCTTGCTCTCTCTCTTTTCAGAAGATGATGATAGTGGCTGTTTTTCCCCCTCAACAGAAAACTCTTTCAAACTTTGAAAGAGACATATAGACAATGGTACAAAAGACATATAGACAATTATTTTAAAAATCATTTTAAATATCTCCCTTATATCAGTCACACAGATATTTACCTTTTGTGAGACCTTACAAGATTTCTGAGCTCTTGAAATCTGTAAAGATGGTTCTAGGTAGCCTGTGCATTTGGAATATGGAGGAATCTTGCCTCATTGTGTGCAGGCATGGCTATCTTCCTACCAGGTTCTCATGAGCTTGACCATGGAGAGAAGGTAGCAATTCTACCTTGGCCCCCCAATGGAAAAGGGTGGGGTGTCTCACTGAGTGCAGGTGAATAAGTTTGTCACTAGGATGTTTGTTATTGGTCATGACTATGAAAATCTGAATGTCTAGAGTAGGAAATGGGTAAGGTGTGACTTGCAAGCCAAATGGGTCCATTCATGGCTATCTTTCAGGGGGGCATGCCCCCAGGCCCCTCACCCTAAAGAAAAGTCAGAGAAGATACCTGGACACCTTTACTGAGGCAAGTAGGACTCAGGCAGACTCACTGAACCAGAGAGGAACAGGTGGTGAAAGCAGGAGAGCAGACTAATAAGCCAGCTTGGGAAGCCAAAGGTCAGGTTTGATAGGAAGGGCTTTTGACCAATAATTTCAAACAGTGTAGTAGAGCATAATTTTTCTTTTCTTAAAAAGAGAGAGAACCAAACCAACGGACAGACTCTATGGAGGGGAAGACATTGGCTTTTCTGGGTCAAGATATGTCAGTTCCCACCGTGGGATATCCTTGGTGGAGTAGAATTATTGCAGCTATATCCCCAGACATTGTTGACATCCCATAATTTGGCCATTTGGAGTCATGGTATTTTGACTTTTTTGTTTGCATGTCCATTTTGAAAAGGTCCTTCTGTTTTTATTCTTTCTGCTTATCTTTGAAAATGTGCAATTTCCTAGGAAAAACTCTGTTATGCTCACTGACTGACTGACCTTTGCAAACTTTGAGATATCATTCATATATTCATTCACTTAACCTACTCATTTTCCCCACTATCCTTATTATTCTATTTTGTTGCGGCTTCCTTTCCTGGTGGAAAGGCACAGATTGACCTGTCAGTGGTTTATTTTCCATCAGAACAAGAGAGTGTGTTCTAGATTTATGCTGCAGAAATCTTCTTCTTCTTCGTTTTTAACACATTGACACAGTGAAAAACAAAAAAGCAAAATGTGAATCAGCAGCCAGCACTATTTCCAAGGGAAAATCAGGTCAGGCCCAAGAGGCAGTAATTTTTCAGCTCTTCAAAAGCTTCCCTCCTGGGCACTGTCACAGGATACTCTCAGCCGTCAGCAGTCACAGTTTTTGATCCACCTTTGCTGACTTGACTGCTTTGCTGCAGGCTGAGGAGACTGCAAGCATGCCAACATCGTGCACTAAAGTCACTATGAGGGGTGAAAATACCTGCCTGTCCTGTCCTCCCATGCAAAAATGATGAATTATAATGTTCTTTACCAGGATGGTATGGAATTTTCTGGCACTTCTTGATACCACTCTTGCATTGGTGGGAACAATGTTTTGCACACAACACACACACATCAGTACAAAAAAAATATTTTGTGCAAAATTGTCCATTTCACAAAGTATAGCTTATTGTGCAAAATTAGGAATTTGCCCAAAACTAGGATGGCTGCTGTTGTATTTAGGAATTTGAAGAACTAGGTGAATTGCCTGCCTCTTTCTTATTAATCAGCCCATCCCTTTGTGCTAGGGAAGCATGTGGGAGGGGCATATATCCCTGTGTGCTTATTTTCTCTTAAAATTTGAATAAAATGTCTCTAGCATACTACGAGAGATTTTACACAAATTGCAGGGACCCATGGTGGGAATAAAAAACCTCTTTGTCTCACATTTGGAGGAATCTTTCAGGGCTTTCAAATTCCTCATCAATGTGTCTTGTTTTGGGATGTTTTTACAAATATCAGAAGATACAAGAACATGGTTAGCTGCTGTAGAAAACAGAAATGCATCTTGGTTTCATAAATTATTAGTTCACCAAGGCTACCCAGTAAGTATAATTTCTTATGAAGAGGAGCGTAGGTTTCCCAATTTGACATCTTCCCATTCTCTGAGATTTCAGGCCCAAATGTGAGACTGTGGGCAGACCCTTGCGATGCTCAAGAGGCAGGCCCTTTGGGAAATAATGTATGTGCATAAGACAATGTGAAGTGCACAGTATGGTTTTCCTGTATCAACTTGTAAGCAAACATACAAACACATTCACATGCAACCAGCAAATTCTGGAGGCGTGTGGTAGTGGCGAAGAGATGTTCGCCCAGGCATTACAGCAAAGTGAGAATATTGTGACCCTCCAGATGTTGTTAGACTGTAACTCCCAACAGCCCTGTCCAAGATAAACAAACATGAAGGATCATGGGAGATACAAACCAACAAGTTGCCCACCCTCACATTAAAGCCACTGTACAACAGGGCTGGCTCTATCATTGGGCGAGGTAAGGAAAAGGCAGCAAATTATCAGGTGCTATTTGGTGTGGTTATAGGATTGGTGCCCTCAGTGGGAATAAGTACTTCTAGGATTTTCTGTCTCATGTACCAAAATAAATTACCAGTGTTGAGGTTCTATGCACCATAATTAGGATGGTTGGGAGTGCCCTGTGCTGCTGTGTCTCAGGCAGCAACATTTCTTCAGCCGTTGTGCCATACACAATAAGATCAACCTTTTTTTATCACCTACCATTACTCAATCTGAGATGGTCTGTCCCACCTAGAGACTTTGAGAAGCCTAACCAATCCCTGAGATTCTACCTGGCTCTCTGAGACCTGGTGACTCTATTTGTCTGATCTCCAGATCGTAAGTAAGCTGTAGTAATTAGGAATGGAAATCCTTAATTGAGGGCACCAGCATTCTCAGCCAATTCATTTATTGTTTTCTTGACTGAGAACTTCTAAAAACTCCTCCAACAAAGTTCTATCTCTGCCTTTGTCCCTCATATCCAGCATGCAGTATATGAGAACTGCCTCATACAGAAGCTTAGCCTATAAACCTAAACATTTGTTTCAGAAGCAGGTGTGTAAAATAAAAAAAGGTCAATAGCACAGCTGTGGGAAAGGCCTGGAGAGAGCAGTATAGCAAGCTGTTCTGCAGTAATAAGGCAGTCAGCACCTACTGATTTTCTGACATTTTTAACACATACTTGTCTCTTGCTCACTGGCAACCAACTACTAGTAAAAGGAACATGCTTTCCGAGGAAACATTTTCAGTAGCTGCTAGATGCTGGTGGCTCACTCATTCATGGATGCCCTGGTGCCACCTCCCACCCTTTCCTTCAGTAACACAATCATTTTCGTCTTTCTGTCCCTTTTGATATCCAGCCCATAGACCACCTACCACTACAAAATCACTACCAGTGATACATGAACTTCCCTTTCTTTGAAACATAATAGACCCTATACAGAGTAAGTAAACATTTTTTTAATTTGTTTTCTCTACGGATAATTGTTTCATAGTGCACATTCCAGCCCAAGCTTGGAAATATGTATTAAAACGTAATTAGTTGTAGCTATACGAAAGGATTAGTAAGTTACCTTTAGAGTTACTATTTTTAAAACAGTAGCTTTTTATGTTCCTTATTTCTCAGAAGTAACACAGAGAGGTGCTTAGTTATTTAGAAGTGAAATTCTGAATGCTACCAGACATCGATCTATAGTACAAACAATATTTGCCCATCTGCCTCATTGTAACCTCAACATATACAACAGATGACAGGACACAGGAAAAAACAGCATTTGAGCATTCTGATTCTGCCATTTTGTCCAGGACGGGCAAACAGCATGTATCACAGGTGGCCATGAAGAGCATTTTGCACCCGCAGGCATTTCCAATGTAAAAATTCCAGCACTTTTAAAAAACATTATTATGGTGAAGCATACTTTTTTTCTGCTCCACACATATGTATTTTGCTTTAGGTGATTGGAGAGGAGACTCCCAAGCTCATTAATCAAAACTAGAAATGGTCATCCAAACACTTGTTTTTCTTTGTTTCTTAGCCATTTTCAGACATTTCTGAGCCTAATGCAGCCTTTAGCAGGTGGTGGGGGTGAAAATTGTGCCCTGAGGCTCACCAAAGTTTCTTGGGAAGAGACCACATCCCTGTAAGTGTATCCTAGAACAATTAAGTATTGAAGCCAACCCCCTGCTCAATGCGGGAATCCAAAGTGCAGCTTGTAGCAGGGGGTGGGACTGAAAACTGTGCCCTGAGGCTCACCAAAGTTTCTTAGGAAGAGACCACATCCCTGTAAGTGTATCATACAACAATTAAGTTGGAAGGGTTAAGGCTATTGAGGCCAACCCCCTGCTCAATGCAGGAATCCAAATCAAAGCAGATATGACTGATGGTTGTCCAATTTTCTCTTTAATGCCTCCAATTATTTTGTCCACAAAAGGAGAAGTTAGTTCTATGTATTACAAGTTAAAATTGTAATATAATTTAAATGAAATCAATTAAAACTAACTTTTTACAGTTGTAACAAGGAGGAGGAGGAGAAAGAACAGGAGGAGGCAGTATCCAGATGGCTAGCTGGTTTATCTGGATTGTGGATAGAGCAGGCTTCCCTTGTTAGAGGTTAGCTCTAGTCAGGGCTTGGTAGATGGGGGCATGCTTTTTGTGCCAAAACTGCAGTTTAGCCTTCATATCCATTCTTTTATAGGAATGGGACATGTTTAATCCCTGAACCTTCTGCAGCTACTTACCCATACTTTAGATCCTTCTTCTCTTATCCACCCCCTGCCCCCGGTGGCTGCTTCCTTTTGATCCTTTTAGATCATTTGTTCTAGAATGCTTGTTTATTTTGTAGCCGGTTGCCCACTGTGCCATCATACTTTCTTTCTTTGAAGTAGCTCAATTTTGTGATTATTTCTCTGCTTTTCCTAACTCAATCACATGTCATTTCCTGCTAAGTAACATAACCTTTCACATTTCTTACCAACTATATAAGATTTCACTCCCCTTCCAACAGACCTGTCTGCTATTCTTTGTACATACACATGGTTCTTGAACGTTCTGTAGATGTTCTCTTTCCTACTAGAGGTTAGAACACTAAAAACTATTACATAACATTGTAGCAATTCTGAATTTTCATGAAACAACATGATTTTTAATCACTTAACAAAAACAGCCTCTTCGGTGCAGCATCTACAATTAATAGCCAGCTGATCTTCTCTATTTTGCCTTTCAAATGTGTTCCATGCTACCAGTGTTGTTGTCACATGCTGTCAAGTCATCTTCAACTTACAACAACCTATGAATGATCAATCTCCAAAATGTTCTGTCCTCAACAGCTCTTGCAAACACAAGGTTCCTTTAGAGAATCCATCTCATATTCGGCGTTTCTCTTTTCCTGTTGCTTTTAATCTTTCCCAGCATTATTGTCTTTCCAGGTGAATCTTGTCTTCTCTTGACGTGCCCAAGTATGACAGTTTCATCATTTTTGCCTTCAGCAATAGTTCAGGCTTTATTTTCTCTGGGACCCACTAGTTGGTCTTTTTGGCCATCCAAGGTATCTGCAAAGCCCTCCTCCTGAAACCGTATTTTGAAGATTTTTTTTTCATGTCAGCTTGCTTTCCTGTTCAGTTTTCACGTTCATACATAGTGATCAGAAATATAATGGCATGGATGATCTTGATCTTGGTCTCCAGGATCATATTCTTACACTTGATATTTTTTTTTCCTAATTCATTGCTGCCCTTCCAAGTCTCAGTCTTCTAACCAATGTTTACACTCCTTTTTATACAGCAAAATTCCCTGACAGTAAAAACTATTTGACAGTGGAACAGGCTGCCACAGGAGGTGGTGGATTCTCCTTCATTGGATGGTCTTTAACTGAGGCTGGACAGCCACCTGTCAGGGTTAATTTAGCACGAGATTTCCTCCTTCTTCGGGGCTCTGGACTTGGTGATCCTTGGGGTTACTTCCAGCTCTACAATTCTATGGTTTAAACTAACATCAGAAGGAGAAAATTTGATACTACAAATCCCACATTCTGTAATCATTGGCCATGCTGACTGAATTATAGGTCAAGATGTTGCATTCAGAAAAGTTCACCTCATCATATTGAGATTGAATGTTTGGGCCAAGCTTTTTGAAACCAGATTGGAGTTGTCACAGGTAGCCTACATAAAAGTAAAGGTGACATTTATTTGTCATCAGGTAAAGTACTTTTGATGAAAAACAAAGAGTTTCAATAATGGAGATGAGATTCTTTAGAGATTTCCACTCATACGTTGTTTGTCACCAGTTTTCAGCTAAACTGAAGCAAGGAAAAGAAGTAAATTAATGGTCTGGTTTCTCCCTCAGGCAAAAAAAGTCATTATAAGAGAAGGGAATTTCTGCAATACTAGACAATATTGTCAAAGATGTATGTGCATGTCTGTGTGTATATCTACCTAATTTAAACACTGGTTAAATACAAACTTAGTTATACTTGGAACAACCTATTAAAATCATTTGCTTTATTCCATTCATTTCAGCTAATATCCTAAATGCTGTTCAGGTTGAATTCCACCTACAGTAAATTACCCCTCCCCCAAATACACACAGGCTTAAGAGACTTAAAAATACATGATATGTTTCGTCATTTCTTTTTCCATCTGACTTGTGGATCTTCAGCACATGATTGCAACCATTCTTGTCTATGAAATTGAGACCTTTGAGGCCAAGAGATCTGACTAAAAGTCAGGTCACCGCAGTCGGCCTGAATGATGGCAGGAGTTTTAATTCTTCTGGCTTGCAATATTTAGGGATAATACCCATAACCCTCAGCAAACCCAGAAAGGTGGTCAGCTTTCTTCATTTATCAGTGATCAGTTTGGCTTTTCTTGTAACATGGGTACTTTGTTCTTTGGGTCATTACCAGGGTCTTGAACTTCTAATTCTGCAGTGTTATTGTTCCTCTACTTGAATAGCTCCCTCACTTTTTTTTGGTATCATGTTGCCATCTGTGTGTTTGAAGCTTTTGATGGATATAATAGCGCCTTAGTTCTTTTCAGCACTAGATTCATGGAGGAGGAAGAGGTGAAAGGAGAGTTTGCCAGAGGAAGCTGGAAGGATTCCTGCAGATCAAAACTCTCCTTGATTTAGGATTGCCAGCTGGCACTTTCAAAACAGGGCCAACCAACATTTTTGCTGCCCAGCTAGCTTGCCTAGCCTCAGGACTGGGCTGTGAACAATGTAGAAATACATATTCCTTAATTGTGATTTGTAATGAACCATGACTAATTCAAAGGTTTATTTATACAGGGTTTTTTTCTGTGAAGAAAGTGTCATGTGCATCTTGATTTTTAAGTAAAAATTTTGATAGGCTGACTTTGCTTCCTCCTTCAGACAGTTTCTTAGTATGGTTACTCATTGTTTGTAGACCACAACATCAATTCACAGCTTATGCTGAGTGGGCATAACAGATCTACCACCATATTTTCAACTTCTTATCACCAATTTTGACGTTCACTTTCCATTACCAGATTGAGTGATGAAGCTTTGAGCACCAAGTGAGGTTTATGTACATGTAAACCAGTTCTCAGAACTTAGCTGCTCATAGTATTTAGCAAATTATGTAAAAATCTTTTAATTGGCTAAAAGTTGCCCCCTGTTTGGCAGTTAGTAATGTGTAATAATAAAAGAAAATGTGTGTCTGTCTCAGCTGCAGCTCCAGTGTTAGGAAACCTAGGCAGATGAAATATGACATGGATAACAAAAGGGACTGCATGGATGTGCACCTTGGAATGACTTTGTCATTTAAATTGAACAATTAACTCTTGTTAATTAAACTTATCATTTACCTGCAATATCATCTTCAGTCACTAGGTGGCAAATCTTCTTAGTCTTCCCTACCTTCAGAGACAAAAGTCTCATTCAGAAGTTATACCCTTAAACTATGTAGAGCAGTGGTCCCCAACCTTGGGCCTCCAGATATTCTTGGACTTCAACTCCCAGAAATCCTGGCCAGCAGAGAAGGTGGTGAAGGCTTCTGGGAGTTGTAGTCTAAGAACATCTGGAGGCCCAAGGCTGGGGACCCCTGATGTAGAGCTTTAAAGACAGGAGGGCTCAGGTCCATTGGGTCACAAAGAATCGGACACGACTTAATGACTAAACAACAAATATAGAGCTTTAAAAGTGGTGGAAACAGAGGCACACATGTAAGTCATTTACCCAACAGCACTCCCAAAAGTCATCCCAACATTTCATACTGTGTTCAGTATGAAACTCTGAAGTGATAAACTGACCACACTTACTGCTCTTGTGTGATCAATAACCTTCTCTGAGTGTGCATGAGTGCATTTAGGAAAACGCACATACAGGTGTCCCTTCAGATCATTGTACATAACAGGTCAGACTGAGCACATTTTCTCCATTCTGTTTTGCTCGTGTTTCCTTACCTAGGAAGAAAGTCTAATTAATTCTGATGTTGGTGTCTGTCTGTTCAGTTAGGCACAAGTTTCGGTGCACACCTTTCCCCCATTTTGCAGCTTATCAATGTGCAACAGCACATGAGCACATTGATTAAACCTTAACACAAAAAAGGTACTGGGCTGTGATTTAGCTATGCACCTACGAGCTTTTTGTGACTTTCTTTGCTGACTTGTTAACCATCTGAAGACTGGGACAAAGTGTACACATTCACTGCTCTGAACAAAGGCTGAAAATGGAAGAATGACAGATTTGTTTACACTTCATCTGTGCTCACAACCCCAAAATCTAGGAGTAAATTTAGTTGTGCATCATTTCATAAATACTTAACCCTGAGCTGGTTGATTTCAGTGGATTGGTTGGTTTTAGTTTGATTTGGTGTAGTTCTTCTTCCTGTGTATCATGCTAACTAGCTTGTTTGCTTGTTTTCACACTTGCTTGATTTACTTAAACTAAATTACTCCTTGCAGTTTCAGAGCAGAACTTTGAACTATACATTATAGGGGCAAACATGTAATTTCTAACCTCTATGCTTGCCTCATGCTGCTGTTAATTGGTGAGTAGGAGGAATTTTCAGTTGAAAAGTAGTAGATGATGAAGGAAAACACCCATACCCATTGATTATCTCCAATTACTCTTCCCTTACCTATCTTTCCTCTATCCCCTTGTATGCTCAGTAACCAGAAGTATGGTTGACTGAAAGAAAACTTCTCTCTTTCCCTTCAGACCAGCTACAGAGAATAATCGGAAATGCTCAGAGATCACCATAACAAATGGTTGCTTAATAATTTCATAGACATTTCATTTCTTTCTTTCAAGACAGTGTGTGAGAAAGTCTTTTATATTTGTTTTCACTTTCTATAGGGCACTTTGGAGTTGGAGAGTTTTATATATTTTATATAAAATATTATACTGTATATTGACACTTGAATGAAAGCTGCTGGGAAACCACCATTACCTAGCAGAATGAAGGGGATGTTTTCAGACTGCAACTTCCGTAAACACCAACTAATGGCTATGCTGGATGGTGCTGATGAGAATTATAGGTGAAAACATCTGGAGAGCCAGAGGTTTCTTAACCCTGGCCTAGTGCAGCTGCATTATCCATACATGTAAGTATTTTCCCACATCAAGTCTCACCACATGCTATGATCTATAGCTGCATAACACATTAATTTATGAAAACAAAATGAGCAAGAGTAATTATCTTTCAATAACCATCCTCACCTTCCACATCTGTTCTTCTGCTCCATACCAGATAAATTCCACTCAGCTTCCCAGAGACAGAGGAGTTGTTTGCATTGTGAGCAGAATCCAGTTGGTGTTGTACAAGGTTTGTGTAAGTCGCCACAGCTAA